ATCACCTGCAATGAAGCCAGCTGCCAAGAAGGCACCGCTGCCGGACAGCTCTTCTGATGATGATGATGAGCCCGTAAAGAAGCCAGTGGCAAAGAAGGCATCACCTGCAATGAAGCCAGCTGCCAAGAAGGCACCGCTGCCAGACAGCTCTGATGATGATGATGAGCCCGTAAAGAAGCCTGTGGCAAAGAGCAAGGCATCACCTGCAATGAAGCCAGCTGCCAAGAAGGCACCGCTGCCGGACAGCTCTTCTGATGATGATGATGAGCCCGTGAAGAAGCCAGTGGCAAAGAGGACATTGCTTTCTGAGAGGAGTGATGAGGAAGAACCTCCGAAAAAGAATGTTCGTGCGGAGAACGGTTCACATGAGAAGAAGTCATTAAACAATGACTCTCAAGAAGGCTATGACCACAGAAACGATAACCGCAACGGAAACGGTGGTATAAGACGTTTTGAGCGTATTGATCCGACAAAGGTTGTTTTTGTTAAGGAGGAATTGAAGGACAACCGCCCAGGGTCAGAGCATATGGTTCTTAGACAGAATCAAGAAATGATGCGGGTAAAGGGTAAGAACTTCAATAAGCTAAAACAGAAAAATAAGGCGAAATTTTACGCTGCTGGTGTGGACACGACTGTGAGGGCTTTTCAGTTTGACGATAGTGACTAATCAAACCGTGAGGATTATGGTCGTCATCTGATAGCATTTACTGGAGAATTTGTACGTATTTCTCTACTTATACCAGTATCTCTGAGTAAAGTAGAGATTGGCCTGTAAGACGTGTAACTCTGGGGCTTGTAACGCTTAATACATTTTTTCTTGCCCTAAATATAAAATGTTAGTAGATGTGCTTTTTCCAACTTATTTGATAGTGTTTTTTTTTTTTTTATTTAATTATTATTTAATTGAATGAGAATCTACTGCTGTTCTTTTCTACATTTTTTTTTTCTGTGCGGGGTGTTTTTTTATATACGCTAAAGAATAAAATGCAGCTTTTTTCTGGTACCAACTCGAGTGATAAAAAAGGTACTGACTCCAATAATGAGCGTCCGTTAGATCTGCCTGTTGATGCGCCGTCCCTCCTTAGGGTAGATCCTGTCGCTGTACTGCAGGGGCATAGAGATCGAGTTTGGTGTGTGTCTTGGTGCCCTTCAGCAAACGTATTGGCTTCGTGCTCTGGTGATGGGACAGTGAAACTGTGGAGCTGCTCAAGACGCCCAGGGATGGACGATAACGAAGAGGATTCTCTCACATGGAAGTGTATTCATACGTTGAAAGGTGAACACAGTCGTACCATTCGACACGTTGCATGGAGTCCTAGTGGTGGGTGGATTGCATGTGCTTCTTTTGACCGTACAGCAACTGTTTGGAAACGTTCTGATGATGACCCAGAGAGTTTTGAGTTTGAATTGGAGGCCGTTCTTGATGGACACGAGAGCGAAGTAAAGTGTGTAGCATGGTCGACCGACGACACATTAGCAACATGTTCACGTGATAGAACTGTATGGATATGGGATCGTGTTGATGTTGGGGAGTTTGAGTGCGCTGGCGTTCTTACAGGCCATGTACAGGATGTGAAGGGGTGTGCATGGATCACTCCAAACGAAGGAGGAGATAAGAAACCACTTTTACTCTCATGTTCGTACGATAACACAATAAAGGTCTGGACAGAGTCACACCGACGAGATGATTGGTACTGTTTTCAAACCTTAACTAGACATGAGGGGACGGTGTGGTCTATTGCAGTGCAGCCTGTAAAAGAGTCCATAGAGGAACTCTGCACAGAAGTCTCAAAAGAACATAATTTTCAGCCATTGGTGTGCTGCTGTTCGGATGATGGTAGTGTCACATTTTGGGCAAGAAACTCTGAAGGAAAGTTTCAGGTAGTATGCACAGCCACAGGATTTGCGGAGCGTTCTTTGTATTCTGTTTGCTGGGCGCCAAGCAAAAACGACGCTTTTGTGGCTTGCGCTAGTGGAGACAATAAAGTGACCATTTTGGGTCTATACCGTTCACCAAGTGATAAGGAAGTGCATGTATCAGTCGTTGCATCGGTTCCGTGTGCACATGAGGCCGATGTAAATAGCGTCTCTTTTTCTCCTCTTGTTAAAAAAGATTTAAATGCATATGGCGAAGCGGAAGAGAGTTTTCTACTAGCCTCCGGAGGCGATGACAATATGGTGCGTATTTGGCGTGTGAAAAAAGCATGAGTTGAGGAACCAGATGAAGGAAATACTGGAAATAACTATATTAGCGTAAATTTTTGTTTTTCTTTACGTCTGATTTGTTGGTGTATTAATATTGTTATCATTCTTGGGTTATTAAATGTTATTATAATTATTGTTTTTTTTTTTTTTTTGATGTCAAACTATTTTAAACCATTTCTTGTTGCATTTTTTTCTTCCCCTTCTCTTTCTCTCTTTCCCTCTATACGACGACTGTGTGGTTTCTGGTATTTATTTATTTAATTATTCTTTTGTTTAATCCATTTGACAGTCATATAACGAGGTTTTGCTTATCAAAGAAGAAAGACGGAAATAAACGCAAACTATAAATAAGAACATAAAAGAAAAAGAAGAACTCACAAGTATACACGCAAAACAAGTGAAGAAAGATGATCATGGCTCCACTTGCAGACTGCACCATGGGTGCCATTCAGGAGGCTAACCGGGCTAACAACGGAATCAATGCTAACATAAAGACTATAAGGAAGAGGTATACGCATAATCCATACCTTCGAACCATATTGACTCCTGTGTCAGTGTTTGATGGAGTTGTTGAGAAGAAAAGGCACGAACCCAATCCTGATGCACCCGCATTTGTTCCTTCTGGTGTTTCATGGAATATGTGTGCACCCGGCTCTTATGATGAGACACTTTACATGAATGGAATGGTTGGTGAAACCAATGGATGTGGAATGGAATACTACTATTCTCAACCCATGATTTCGTCCCACACAAATCCATCAGAAACTCATTATCAGACCTTGCCAGAACCTGCAGAAAGCGCTAACACCAGCAGTGTTGTTGACAAGGCTGTTAACCTCAGCAACAGCACTGTGTCCTGTGGAAATACTGGTACTTCAGTGGTGTCCACACCCATTAAGCGGAGTAACAATCTCTATAAAATGTACGTTGATGGGCGTCCAAAGGTTGTCCGTGGCGTTACCTTCGCTGAGGTGAAAGTGGAGTTGCGATTGGGAAGTGAAGTGTTTCTTGTGAATGATGTCCCACATATTTTTGGTGTTATTCTGAAAGCTGAGGATCTTATTAATCGTCACGTCATTGTGGAAGGGGATCGTGGGGAAGACCTGGGCCTCATTACGGCCATTGTATCCAGTGAGCCAGCACTCTCAAAGAGTGCGGATGTGGAAGAAGAGGAGGAAGAGAGAGAGAAGGGGGAAAAGCGTCCATTGCGTGTACTTCGCGAAGCCCTTCCGGAGGAAGTGGAGTCCTTCCACTCTCTTGATCACATGGAGGAGGAGGCACTGCGGTTCTGCAAAGCTGCCATTAACTCATTGAATCTGCGCACCCCGCTTGAGGTGCAACGCGCTGTATTTCAGTTTGACCGCAAGAAACTCACCTTTACGTATTGCAGCGATACTTATGTGGAGTTTAAGGCACTTCTGCGTGCCCTGAATCGCCAATACCAATGCCGTATTTGGATGCACCAACTCAATTGGGAGGTGAACTGCAGACAGAGGAGGCACGCGGCGGTTGATAATCACCGCAAAAGTAGTAACAAGGAATCTCGTAAGCGTGGGGGCGCCAATAAGGACGCAAAGCGGAACCACGAAGCGGACAAACAGAGCCAGTAGAACTGGAGAACTAGTACATATGTAGTAATAGTAATAGTAATAGTAATAATAGTAATAATAGTAGTAATAGTAGAAGGTGTTGGCAGTTGTAACAATAGTCGAGTGGTTTTGGTTCTTATGGGTGCTACTGTTATTATTATTAATACTACTATTACTACTACTGATGGTATTACTGCCGGTACTGTATGTTCGCATGTGCAGAAAGTATAGGTTTGATTCTAGAGCAAAGATGGGACTAAATGGGATTATTTTATTTTTATTTTTTTGTTTTGTTCCACTTTGTTTCTTCAATTCTCTTGGACTTTCAATAACTTACGTTCAGGTGTCTGCCTCTCTCTGTTTTGTGATTTTAATTTTCTCCTCACCACCATTTTCACACGTTTCAAGAGTCACAATAACACCGTTCCATCCGTACTATTCCATTCTGCAAAATAAGAAGAAAAAAATAAAATAAAAAATAAAATAAAATGAAAATGAAAGAAAATAAAAAAAAAAAAGAGATAGTGAGAAGAAAGAAAAGGAGAGAAAAAATTTTTTGATTACAATCCTTTAATCAAACATCTGCAGTGTTTATTGTCTACTGCACTTTTTTTTTTTTTTTTTCTCTTCTCTCACTTCCTCTGTTTTTTTTTTTTTTTATTTATTTCTGTCTTATTCTTGACTTCTTTGTTCCTTGTAATTTGCGTGTGACTGCGTGTTGTTTGAGGCCCTCTGTTTTTTGTTTACTTTTCCCTTTTGTAAATTCTCTCAGTTATTTTTGGCTGTTGAGATGAGAGAGGGGCGAGTGGCAGCCAATGGCAGGCGCCGAAAACAACAACACCAACAACCATAGAAATGATTACTGAGATTTATTTTTCTCTCTTTCTTTTTCTTCAAATCACCGATATTAGCTTCCCCCCTTTATTTTTCCTCTTTTTCTTTTTATTATCCCCAGTCTTACGTTTTTTTTTTTTATTTATTTTGTTCTTTGATTATCTTCGCACTCAGTGTTTGTTATTATTGTTATTATTATTATTATTATTATTATTATTATTATTATTATTGTTATGATGATTATTGTTACTATTTTCCATTCCTCTATATAAGTACGTGTTTTTCTCCCTTCGTTTACTGTATTACTTTTTCGTGTGCTTCTATGATGCCCCTCTCTCTTTTTTTTTTCTTTTTTCTTTTTTTCTTTTTTTTTTTTATTTTCGTGCGTTTTTTTATTTTATTATTTTTGTATTTTCATTCTTTGTACTCTGAGGCCACGTGTTGTAATACTAGTCCCCACGGAAGGAGCGAAAGGACAATAAAAAGTAAAATAAAAGAAAGGAAAAAAAACAAGTATTTCTGCGTAAAGAAGATGGGAAGGAGAAATATAAGAAAACGTAAAAAAAATAAAAAAAAACAATAAACAATAAACAACAAAAACAAAAAAAAGAAGTGTGTGTGGTACTCAAACCATATTTTATATTATAATGGTTTTATTTATTTTTATTTATTTTATAATTCTTTTTTCTTTTTTTCTTTTTTTTTTTCACTCACTTTTCGTGTGTTTTTTTTTTTTTTCTCTTTTTTTGTTTACTCACTTTTTCTTCTTTTTATTTCTTTGAATGGTGTGGGCTCATCTGCCCACCCAGACGCATAGAAGAGACGACGTACGGTCTCTGTTCTCATCACCGCTGCGGCCCGCCGCGGCGTATCAATTTATATATATATATAATGTAATGCAAAGAAACTTTTGAATATTAAAACGAAATGAATAAAAAAAAGAAAAAATAAAAAAGAGGGACCGCCGCTGGTGTAGAAACCAACCGAGCATGCAGTCTTCCCCAAGGCTGAGATGCCTCAGAAGGGAACAAAAACGATATTAACAACGAAAAAGCAGAAAAAAAAAAGAACAATTGGTATGAAATCACAAATATATATATATATATATATATATATATATATATATTTTTCTTTTAAACGATGACAAGAACGTTTTCGCATTTGTTACCGTATTATTTTAACATCTGTATCATAATCAAAATATTATAATGGTAGAAGAATAACAGCAAAAAAAAGGAGAAAAACAGAAATAAAATAAAATGAGTATGATTGAATGAGGTATGATGGGGGTATGAATAGTCATCGCTATCTGTGCAAGGGAAAAACAAACAAGTTGCAGCTTGAGAGCTGTTCCTCTCCGCACATCCACAACAAAAAAAAACAGGGGCTGAAAAATACAAAAATGAGGCTACTGTGTGGAGCTGGGAAATAAATAATAATAATTAAAAAAAAAAAAACGCGAAGTAAAGCTGAGTTTAATAGGAAAAAAAAATCCAATAAAACCTTTTTTTTTCGCCTATTTCCTTCGTGTGTGTGTGTGGGGCGGATTGTCTTTTCCCTCTGTTGGACCTTATATATATATATATAATTATCTGTATGTACATACGTAAGCACGGTGACTGGGTAGATGGGCGTAAATAAGGAACAGTAATGATTTATTGAGGGAATTCTCTTTTTTGGGGGGGTATGGGTGTGTTGGGAAGGTAGCGTTCTTTTTTTTATTTTTCCTTTGTTTCTTTGTTTGTGGATACTGCGCTGTGATGGGTCATATTTGCAAATTGTTTTTATGTATGTAGACAATAGTGGAGGGAAAATGGGAAAAAAGAAAATGGTATCACAATCCTTTGAGCAGGAGGATCAGAATACAGAAGCACAGGACTCCCGGGGAACTGAAGAAGAATCACAATGAAAAGTAAAAAAAAAAAAAAATGGAAGAGAGAAGTGTCTTCACATTATTTTATTGTGTTTATTTTTCTCTCTGTAGAACCGTCTGTCTGTCTGTCTGTATTGTCGACCCCTGCATGTATGTGTGTCTAATATGAATGCACATATGTATATTTATCTATGCATCATATGT